CAGATTCTAAATTTAAAAAGTAGTAGAGTTGAAACACCTTAAAACATCAACGAACAAAATTAAATTTCATGGCTTACTTCAGGACCAATGTAATTTCCTATAAAACTGTATCTTAAAGAAACCTACTTACCAAACTAGGTCAGGCACTCAAAACATCTAGACAATAGAACACTTAAACATTTTTAGGTGTTTTCTATTTCTCTATTTAAAATAGAAGCAGAATTACCTGAATGTGCAGCTGATGTCATCTTTGGACAATTTGGTGAGTAACAGATAAGCTGAATAAATAGAACAAGCAGATCTATGAGGGATACCAAACCTTTAGAAAGAAAATAAAGAAAAAATTAATTTCTAGCATATTCTTTCAACTTAGAGAAATTTAACTGAGCTCTCATCCATCTACATAAATGAGTCTTTTTGTACAGACTACAGGGCAATCAGGCAGAAAGGAGCTATAATCTCAGATAGAAGACTTCAGAACAAATTACATACAAATTAAAACACAGCAAGGCAAGGAGTGCTGTAGTTGCTATGTAAAGGTAGTTTTACCATTTATTTTGAACCAATCACTTAAGATAAACCTATGATAGGAAGATGTATGAATCTTATCAAGGCTGTTTGAGTTTATTCAATTAGGAGTAGTAAAATTCGGCTTACCAAGTTGGTCCAGCCAACTTATCTACACAGAACTGTAGAATGGGGTTTAGCAAAACTTCTCTTTAAAGGACTAGAGAGTAAATATTTTAGATTTTGTGGCCAAATGGTCTCTGTCACAAATACTCAAGTCTGCCATGGTAGCACTAAGTATATGCAGATGATATGCAAATGAATGGGTATGGCTATTCTCCAAGAAAACTTGGTGTGCACTAAAATTAATGTTTATTTCTCACATATCACAAAACACCCTAATTTTTTTCAACAATTTAAAAATATAAAAATGATTCTTAGCTCAAGCTCACAAGTATACAAACAAGAACAGTGGACTGAATGTAGCCCACAGACAAAATTTACCAACTCTTGCTGTAGAGGCTTAGATTAAAAGAATCTGGTAAAATCACATGTGAAACTTAAAGGTGACTGTTGCCCTATGCTAGTATAGTAGAATAAACCTCTAGGAACTCAATTTTGAGGTGATCTATAATATTTGGTAGGTCAAAATGTAGATGTTAAATGTCAATATAAAATAATAAATAAATTACAGATGATCAACATATAAATGTAAGCTGAACACTGCACTAACATCACAAGTATACATTGGTCTATTTCTGTAAATTTCAACAGTATCCTATAAAACGACAGCTCTTTTATTAAAAGTCGATTATCTGAGTGCTCATTATGCATAGAATTACGTGGCACTACCATGGGAACTACAAGAGCTGTATATAAGGCAATGTCTTTTCTCAAGGAGCTCACAATCAACTGAGAAGGAAAGATTTCAGGAAATTTAAAAAACTGGAAAACAGTATAAAAGAATATTCAAAATAAATATACTCTATAACAGGGGTCAGCAAACTATAGACATTGTGGATTCATTTTATAAGGCTTACAAGCTAAGAATGAATTTCACATTTTTTAAATGTGTCAGAGGTCCTCAAAACCATGCCCAGATTCAATGATTCACTAAGAAGACTCAGAGAATTCAATATATAATTGTATTCACAACTACGATTTACTATAACAAAAGGATACAAAGCAAAATAAAAGGGCAAAAGTGCATGGGGTGAAGTCCAAAGCTAACCAGTATAAACTTCTAAGTGTCCTCTACTGGTTGAGTCACACAGAATACACTGAATTATTTCAGCAGCAAGTAATGACAACACGTGTGAAATGTCATCTACCAGGAAAACTCATTAGAGACCTGGTGCCTTAGGTTTTTGGGGGTCTGAGCATGTAAGCACACTCTACCCAGCACATGCCAAAATTTTAAACTCCCCAAAGAAAACCAAGTACTCTGCATAAATCACATTGTGCAGTTTAGGCAGTAATCACTGTACAGCTTAGGCACTCATCAGTTCTAGGAATAATAAGAAATCCAAGTTCCTAGGTCACAGCCAAGGGCCAACCTTGCAAGCAGGCCTTTCTAAGGATAACTGTTTCAGGCCTGCTACATTAAGTCTTTGTTGTACACACCCAGAGAGAATATACAAAAGCAATATGGAGCCAAAAAGGCCCAAAATATTTACTCTGTGGTGCTTTACAAAAAAAGTTTGCTGATCCCTGCTGTACATACTATATTCTCAGTTGTCACTTTTACTTCCCTTAAGAGTTTAAGTACATACTAACAACATATGCTGAAGTCTGACGGGGAAAAAGTAAGTGAGACTTAGGGTAAAAATAATATGATAATATATAAAATGACACAGGGCTTTGCAGTTTATAAAACAGTATTTGCAAACCTCATTTCTCTGTGATCACAAAAATTCTCTAAGTCAAATATTACTGATTTCGCTAGTCTATTTTTATAGATAAAGAAACTGAAACAACAAAGGTTAAGTGATTGTCTCAAAAGATCACAGCTAGTTTAGAATGGAATGAGAACTTAAACAAGGTCTACTAGCTCTAAATTCAGATCTGGACCACTAAAGGCTGAAGGAATAATAACAAGAAGAAAACAACAACAACAACAAAATACATATAGGAAAAAGTACGTATGGAAAACTAAAAGAAAACAAATACTTTGAGGTATATAAGCTTTCAGTAGGCTAAAAGGTATGTAGCTAAGTACCACAGAAGCATGCCAGTTTCCAAATTTGACTGCTCCATCACATATAAATCTTAGCATATCTCAACAAATTTATTTCTCCTAATTGTACTTACCTTTTTTATTCTTCAACTTAATAGGAAATAGTTTTCTGCCTTGTGTATAGATCAATAATCTTCCTAAAAGGCAGAGTGAGTGAATGAAATAAATATATTGTAATTCTTGTCCTAAGTAGTGGAAAGGTTTCTGCTTATTTCCTTAAAAGAGAAGCAAACAAGAATATTTATTTATTGTCATTACATTTTACAGTACCTATCTTCATTCCCTTCTAGACATTAAATAAGACTACAGGCTAGAATGGAGACACTGTTGGTGTAAAATTTTTAAATTATTTATTTTCCTTATTGCTTCCTAAGATCCTTTACAATAAATTCCCAAAGAAAAGCAATCAACTTAAAAAGCAGCCTCAGAAAAGTACAGTACACATATAGTGTCCATTCTAAAATAAATAATAAATACCATAAGCTTGCCAGAGTTATCTGTCACTGAAGAGGAACTTCAAAAGTAAGTTAAGGGCAGAAGAGACTTAGTAGAAAATGTTAGTTACTATTTAATTCCAGCAATTAAAAGCTAGTATTACAAAAGATCATATTAACAAACATGAATCTAAGTGAAATTAGAATCTCTAAAATAATAGACATTTTCCAATATGTATTTGTCATTCACTCATTCACCCGCACATTCAAAGTCTATTGAATACCTATTTTACACAAGATCCCGAACACTAGTGTCAAAAACCGTTAAGAAGCAGGAAACTGGGCATCCAATCTAGAGTATGGCAAATAATCTGATATGACCAGAGCATGAGGAGAACAAGTGGAAGAGAAGGGACTAGAAGGGGCACATCATGGAAGACTTAGCTTCATAAGGAATCTGGACTTAATTATAGAGGCAGCTGGGAAGATATCAAAGAGTTTTAAGCAGGAAAGTAATAAATATGAACTGTGAAAATCAGACTCTGATAGCAGTATAAAAAGTGAATAGAAGAAAGTCAAAGTTTGAAATAAAAAGACCTATCAAGAAAATCATGAACAAAACACTAGTAAGAAGAATGCAAAAGAGGAGAGTGGTAAAAATAAAAGTTTAAGAAAATGAAATCAATATATCTTAGCAAGGATTACACACACAGTGAAAGAATGAGAAAAGATAAGAAAACTCAAGGTCCTAACTCAAGTATCTGTGCTCAGCGTAAATCTTTCTTCTATTTAAGTAATTCTAAAAACAAACAAACAAAAAAGGTCTAAAAAAGAAAAAAAAATTGTGATTTCAATCTTTAATATTTTAGTTTCAAAGTGTCCATGTAACATCCCTAGAGACACTAAATAAGGTGAGCGCATGTGTGTGAAATTCAGGAAAGAGATGTGTTCTCAAATATTCCAGTCATCGTTTATATATAAATATATAATATTTGAAACCATGAAAGTAAATAGGTTCCTCCCAAGAGAGCAGGTAGACTAAGATGAGAAAAGTGCCAAGGGCAAAACCTTTACGCGTACAAACATACACAGAAAAAGAAAGAGATTGGCCGGGCGCGGTGGCTCAAGCCTGTAATCCCAGCACTTTGGGAGGCCGAGGCGGGTGGATCAAGAGGTCAAGAGATCAAGACCATCCTGGTCAACATGGTGAAACCCTGTCTCTACCAAAAATACAAAAAATTAGCTGGGCATGGTGGTGCGTGCCTGTAATCCCAGCTACTCAGGAGGCTGAGGCAGGAGAATTGCCTGAA